AGCTTAGTATCATGTTTTTTTCTTCTTGCCCCTAACTTGTCTCCTCTGTTATTACACAGATTTCCAACCCCTGGTTTGACTATTCTAATAGACCCCCCCACCTCCAGCAACCCAGTATTTGTGTGTCAGGCAGATTCATATCATGGGAATCCACTAAAACCCTTGGCGTGCTTGTTCACAGAGCCATAGACATTTACCTGGAAAAGATTCTCTAGGTCATCCATGTATTCTACAATAATACTTCCATTTTACAGAAGGAGAAACAGGCGGAGAAAGCGATTCTCCTGCACCCCAGAGGGGCAGGGCCAGAGGCCTCTGTGGGCCCGCCTCTCATCACTGCCCTTCGCAGCCCTCCCCCAGGCCTGCTGATGGACTATGCCTACTGCAGGTGATGTTCGGTCGGCAGGGAGGTCTGTCTACGGCTGTTCTTGAGAGTGGTCAGGTCTGGAGGGAACACGTGTGTGTGTGTGTGTGTGTGTGTATGCACACGTGTGTACATATTGAAAATGATTACTTTGGGAAAGCAACCCATGGAAACGTGCCATATAAATATTTATGGTTCTTTTAATGTTTGCTCTGAGCCCCCTACAGTTTCAAAGGTGCGTTCCTCTGTCTTCCAAATGCATTTCAAATAACGGGTGCTGTGAACCAAGAAGTGACAGTGAAACCTCGCGGGATAAACAGTCCTGGGCAAAGGCATCCTCCCGGGTCTCGGCACTCCCACTCTGTCTGCTTTCCCCTTCTCAATGGTCCTTGAGTCAATTCAGAAAGAGTGGTGAGAGGCAGGGAAGGATTGGAGAAGGGAAAAGTGGCGATGAAAAAAAAACAGAGGGCAACAAATGAAGGGAGGGAGGGAGAGGGAGAGGAGAAGGGAGGAGAGAGAGAGAAGAAAAGAGAAGAGAAAGAAGAGAAGAGAAGCACGTCCTGCCCTCTGTCACACACACAAGGGCTTTGTGTCGGCGAGTAAACAGCTGCTAAAAGCCTCCTGTGTAGACGCAGGGTGTTTTGATTCTGCTCCTATTTTCAGTTGGCTTAAGAACTAAGCATGAGGTAGTTTCTGAAAAATCTGTAGGGATTCTGGGAATTCTGAATTATCTAAACCAAACTTCACACAGCAGTGCTGTGTGCTGAGATTTTATAATAATGCATTATTCATGTTGCACCTGTCTCCCAAGGAGCTCAGATGTTATACAAATGATATCTTGCTTAGAGTTCCCTTGGTTTATTGGAGGTGTGTGTGTGTGTGTGTGTGTGTGTGTGTGAGTATATGCATGCACTTGTGTGGCGAGGGAGGTTGTGGTTATGTGCACTTCGCAGAAGAAGCTGGGCACAGAAGAAATAAGGGATTGTCCACAGCCACACGGTGAGTGGCTGGACTGGGGACCCTTCCAGGTCTCCCCTTGCCCTGACCCAGGTGTTTCTAGCTCACTTATTTCTCCCAACTCCCCAGAGTAGCTTGGAGGTACAGAATAATAGAAAATAATTTTGCTTAACTTCTTTCTTTGAACAATTCAAGCATACAAAAGTGGAGAGACTAGAAAACGATTCCCATGCGTCAGAACCAGCGGCCCAATGTCCCTGCCCCCTTTCTGTAGATTGTTTTGAAGTAGCCCCTTCCTTGATAGGTTTCATCTGTAACACTTGAGTACATGTCTACAAAATAGACTCATTTAGAATGCATTCAATATCATCGTCATATCTAAAACTGAACAATTCTTAATAACATGTGATGGCCGGCAGTACTAAAGAGTTGCAGAATTATTACGCGAAGAAAGAAAAGCTCCCCGCCTTACGGGGCTACACACTTACCCCCTGACGTTATCATTGCTCGGGACAGTTTTTGGACGTGGGTTCTGAAGATTGTCGCTAGAACACCAGTTCTTATTTTATCTTTCAAGGGTGGATTTGATTTTGGCATAAGCCAGGAATCATTTGTAATGAAGACCCAAGAATAAGATGGCTAATTGATAAATACTATGATTTATTCTCTTTAGATATTTGACTCTGCTGTTTGTTAAATCCGCCAATCCATTGCTCTGCAGTTACACATTTTGTAGCTGCAATAGTTAAAGGCAGGTGTGATGTTAAAAATTGGAAGGGAATCAGGGTATGTTTTCAGTGGATGGGTCTTGGTGGGAGTGCCTGCTGTGGCCAGAGGAGTGACTCGCTATTAGTTTTTTATGTTCATTATTTTTTTTAAGAGAGATTTTTGCTATAGGGCACATGTGCTCACCAGAGAGACAGAGAGACAGAAAGAGAGAAATCACCCCCCTCCGCCCCCCCCCACCTGGGGAGGATGGCCACACTACAATCCCTTCTTTTCTATTTGCTCAGGATTTTGGACATGCACACACAAGCATCTGACATGAATTTTAAGCTGCCAGATCTGGGACTCGAACTGTGTTCGACTACATGGGAGTCCAGAGAAATAACCATTACGCCATCCTTGAATCTCACATTTCTTGACTCTATCCTAAGGGCTGCTCCTGTCTCACCCAGGGGCCTCCAGGGAAGGCTGAGGAATACCACGCCTGCCTTCAGAT